ATGTTTTATTTACTTGAGAATGAGCGAGTCATTGTGTAATACAGTACAAGAAGTAATCCCCATTCAAAAAATAACTTTTGGCATAAAGGTTTTTTTTATCAAAATAGGTGACTAAAGTTTTATTCTATTATTATTATATGGTCAACCTTACGATATAAGTATATATATAAAAAAAAAGCTGCCGTCCATGACACGTGGTCTAATTTTTGTTTTCTTTCATTTAAAAAAAAGTTAAAATATTTATTTTTCTTTAAAAAACCTCAAAAATCCCTAACTCCGTACTAAACGTCAAATGTTGCCTTCGAATCAATCACCACTGTCCACCCCTTTCGTCATCGGACCCACACTTGTCGATCGCCCCCTTGCTGCCCCATGAAATCCCTAAATCTACTCAAATGGCCGGAGGTTCGGGCATCGCGGTCCATTGATTCAGTTTAGGTGGCGGTGCAGGTTCACCGACGACAATGAACCAGTGGATGACGGCTGGGTGCATGATGGAGCAGAGTTGAAGGGATTTAGAGATTTCGTGCAACAAGGAGGGGTGATCGACCAGTGGGGGTCCAACGACAGAAGGAATAGGTAGTGGTGATTGATTCAGTGGTACAGGTTCACCAATGACGATGAACCAGTGGGCGATTTAGAGATTAGAAATTAACATTACCAAAAACAAAACAAAACATATAATTCGGACACTTACATTTTAATTAAGTCTCAAAAAGAACAAAAAGGTCCAACAAGACGAGGAAAACGTAGGAATTCTTTAACGTGATATAATAGAAACATATTAAATATGTATACCTGTCCATAAAGAAGCTCATTTAGATCACTAAATGATGGTGTTCTTTCCAGGAACCGTCCCTAATTCATATAAAAATTTAAATGTTGTATGTAAATCCAAAAATGTTAATACCCAGAAAAGGAAAAAGAAATGTAGTACATTGCAAAAAGTTGCAAAAAGTCAGGGATCAAACCTTAACACCTCCAGGAAAACAAAAATTGGCTAAGTCCTTCATACGCATAGCTAACCTCTTCCCAGGAGGGTATTTAAAAAGCATCTGTTAATAACAGAAAAGAAAAACACACAACAATGATGTCTGTTCATATGAAAAGAAATACATTATCATTGATCAAATGCATATACTCTAAAAAATGATTTTCTTTTGTTAACATTTCTTATGAACAGAAATCAAGTAGAGTTTAAGAAGAAAAGACAACACACAAAGACTGACAAACCAAGTTCTTGCTTCTGTAATGGCACTGCCTTTACTTGCAAGGAGAAACGCAAATTGTTTTTTGATAGAAGTTGGAGGTCTCATTAAAAACTCCCTTCGTATTCGTCCACATATTAAGAAGTATGTTAATGAACATAGGAAGGAAGAAAAGAGTATCTCATATTTCATTGAATAAAACGCCTCATTACATATGAAAACACGAAATACGAGAAACACAAATTGTTAAATTGCAGAAAATTAAGGAGCAGAGTAACATGTTGAAAATATAAAAAGGGTCTCCTTCTATTTAGTTATGTAGTCAACCTGAGGCTCGAATGTCGGAAGTGGAGGCCCCCTATGCTGTATCAGCTTAAGATCTATGATTCCAGATCTTTTCATCTCCATCTCCCACTTCTTCCTTCTAGCAAATTCTTCCTCCATGACCCCAAGATTAGCATCTGGATGAATCCCAACAATAATGAAGTGCTCGAAGATCGATTCGGGCTGCTTGTATTTAATATGATCCTGAAACAACATCCTCCAGATTAGAATTCTGAATTCTGAAAGGCATAGATATATATATATATCAGAATCCAATTTGACTAATGCTCACTACCTGTTTTATCTCAACATCAAAAATCTTTCAATCAGTAATAGATTTTTGTCAGAATAACTACCTTAAGGTATGAACTTGACTTCCTACATTATGACATACTAAGTCATTACAGAAAATAGCACAAAGAAAAGGAAGCAATGTGTGACTTGTAGAAGTGCAGTGAAAAAGATTTCACAGCTACACAAAATGATTGATTACAGAAAACCTGGAAAAAAGAAAAGAGTTGAGTCTAAATACCATAGACTTGGAGCTGAATTGGTACCACTGGCGTTTCTGATTTGCCAAAACCTCAGGATTGAAGCTCGACTGGTACCAATCATCCCTTGCATGGCCGCCCCATTGCCAAGCCTTCTGCATCTGAGTTTTCAATCTCTGGAAACTATTGCTACGCCAGTGTCCTGACGTTGGGAATTCACTCCGAGTGCGCCTATGCCCCGATGGCGGCAGCCTTGGTGGACCAGTGCTACCATGCTGCACTGGATTCTGTGTTTCCCCAACCTCATTCATAGATTCCTGAAAATCAGGGTTTATTTCCCAAATGGAAGATTGTGACGGGTCTACCTGTCCTTCAGCTTCTTCAATGGTTTCCATTTTGTAAACACTTGCTTTTTTATCTTATGTTACGCTGCTCATTTCACCAATTAAACCCAAACCTCTCCTCCGTTAAATTGTCAGCCATTATCACTAAAAGATTCACACTTTTTCATTTATGCTGCAGAATCTACAAGACACCATCCTCTTAAAGCAAAGCTTTTTATAAATTACACAAAGACATGAAACGGGTGCCCTTTTATTACCTATTGATCCGATGCTCTAACTACCCGAACCATGAAACCTTCCAATACATATGCTTCAAAAATCATATAAAATGAAATTGCGGCCTCTTTCTTCCATAAAGTCTACACATTTGAATTAACAATACCTAGGCTGTAATGGAAAGAAGATAAAGAAAAGACCAAACCAATCAATCAAAAGGCCCAGCATGATACAAATTCCTAAAAGGAAATGAGAATAAAAACAGAACATGAAATAAATAAGCAATATAGCATCAAACATAACCAGAACAGAAACAGGAGAGATTGTCTTGCTTGCTTTTATCATTATTCTTGTTACTATTATTTTGGTTGTCTGATTAGCATAGTTTTAGGTCCTTCAAGCGAGAGAGAGGGGAAGGGAAATGCTAAAAATAGAAAGGAGTTAAGTTTTAATATAAAAGGTGAAAGGAGAGGTTACACTTACACATAGGAGGAGATTAAGCGAACTCTACCGAAAACAATTACTAATATTAAGTTTAGATAATGCATCACGTGTATTAGATAAGTCATCAATTGAAGTGGTAAAAGACTCCCATTTATATCATTTTTATTTGTTTTTTTGTTGTAATTGTCAACCAGTTCTCTGAAAAAAGACAATGAGAAAAGGTAAACTGTTACATTTCCAAAATACATAAACAATAATATTGTAAACTATAAGCAATACCACTGCAGTAACACTTTCCTTTGAGAAAAATGGCAAAGGTAGTAACAGGAAAGAAAATACTCAGATTTTCACACCTAAATTGAACGGTCAAATGCTCCGGCTCCTGGGCTTCACTTCTTGTTGTCTTTGTCCTTGGCCTTTTTTCTTTTTGCTCTGCTCTTTCCTTTAGGATCATGATATAAACGCGCATTTAAAGCGGTGAAACGTGAAAAACTGAAAACCATCAAGAGTCGCGCATGCTCATCGTTTTGAAGCTATAGAAAATCGACAAGATGTGGCCGCAAGTTGCAAATAACCCAATGATCACTGGGTATTGTTTTACATACAAATTTTTGTCAGGAACTGAGAAAACCAAATTGATTTTTTCCCCGAGAGTAATGTTATCATAGAGGTTTATGGCTGAGCTGTGTTTGTAAAGTATATATATTATTAATAATTAAAAAAATTATGAATAGATATTATTTTATAATCATATCTTATATTATTAAAATAAATTCAAAGACCAATAAAAAAAAGAGGACTCAAAATTTATTTGAGAAGAATTTTCAAATATAAGAAAACTATTTTATTTCATGATATAAACGCGCATTTAAAGCGGTGAAACGTGAAAAACTGAAAACCATCAAGAGTCGCGCATGCTCATCGTTTTGAAGCTATAGAAAATCGACAAGATGTGGCCGCAAGTTGCAAATAATCCCAATGATCACTGGGTATTGTTTTACATACAAATTTTGTCAGGAACTGAGAAAACCAAATTGATTTTTTTCCCCGAGAGTAATGTTATCATAGAGGTTTATGGCTGAGCTGTGTTTGTAAAGTATATATATTATTAATAATTAAAAAAATTATGAATAGATATTATTTTATAATCATATCTTATATTATTAAAATAAATTCAAAGACCAATAAAAAAAAGAGGACTCAAAATTTATTTGAGAAGAATTTTCAAATATAAGAAAACTATTTTATTCTGAAGGCTTAATATAAATATTGTGTTCAAATTATATATTTTTTATTTAGGTATCTAAACATTTTTTAATCAATTTAAATGTATAATATTTCTAATATTACTATTTAAATGTTTTGGCCATGACAAATGTTATAAAAAATTTATCAATCAGTTAGAATGTGATACTTGATGTCTTTATAAATTTTATTTTTTTTAAATATTTCTAAAATCCTTAATCCCAAAGAACCATCCCACTCGTCGTTCGTCCATTATCATTACGCGAAATGCAACTCGAATTTACGATAGTGGATATCGCAATGTAAATTAGAGATCGCATTACGATTTTGTTGGTCATTTTCGCAAATCCAAAAAAATTGATCAAAATCGTATATCATCTGAGATTTTTGGTAACTGAAATTATTTTCTCTTTAAAAATTTATTTATTTTTTAAAAGAAATTAACGAAAACAAAAAATTAAATCACATGTCAAATATAGTAGAGACCTAAAAAGATAATAAATAAATAAATAATAAAAGAAAGAAACGGAAAGCCATGAGTCAATATATCGTGCAATGGGTATATATAACTGACAGACGGTATGTGATATCGTCGGTCGTCGCGCGAACTCCAAAGCTTCGAAATCTCAGTTATACCCCTAAGTTTATTTTCCTTTTTCGCTTTTAGGGTCTCCAATATAAATCCACGTCCAGTTCCCTAAACTTTTCAATTCACTTCACTGCTTCAATTCCAATTTCAATTTCAATTTCGCCCACCAAAAAAGGGCAACAAAATCTTCTCGAGACTTAAAAACCCTAATTTTTCGACATTATTCCCTACAAATTCGCATTCCTAAACCCCAACATTCGTATCTCCTAATCTCTTTTCAGATTCTTTCACTGAATTATTCATGTATCAAAGCTCTGCTTTTCCTTTTGATTTCTCCCGTTTTTCCTATTTATTCAGATTGCAAGAAGCCCTGCAATTCCCTTGAATAGAAGAAGGTTCTTCTTACTTTATTTATTTTGACAAAATAGAACCCTAAATTTTTTAATTACTCTTTTTATGGAGGCGTCTCCTATTATTTTTTACCTAAGCTCCGACGACGACGAGGCGACTCCTGCTTGGGAGGATCCAAAGGGGGACGAGTACAACCGGTTATCGGAAGTTCTGGAAGCCGTTGATAATGTGTTCCACGACCCTGATGACTTGACGGTTGTCGGAGAAGTCAACCCCACTAAGAAGTCAAAGTCACCGAATTCAGTGGTAAGGAAGGTTGCTGATGAGGACGACGGTGATTGTGTCGTTTTGGAAAGTGACCCAGATAAGGCGCTGTCGGAGGTTAATGATCCCCAAAAAGATTCCGATGAGTGTCTTATTGTCGGCCAGAAAGGGCAGGTAAATTTATACCTTTTTTGGTATTTTTTCTTTTGACCGAGTACGCTGGTTATTTTTTCAATATTCTGCTGCTGAAATTAGGCAAGCGGTTATTTCTTCAGAAGGAAGGCTTTGTTTAGTTCATGTGCTTTCAAGTGAAGGAAGGCTTTGCTTGGTGACTTGGTGTTGTGTTTTAGGGTTGCTTTGCTTTAGAAAGTTTTTTTTTTCTGGGTAGCATTGCATGTTAAATTGATTAAAATATTGATGTTTTTTTGTTGTTGCATTTTTTGTGAGTTTCTCATTGCGGTTCTATATTTTTCTGGAATGTGTTCTAGCTCCAGCAATTTTAAATGTTCATGTTGTTTAAAGATGTGATGCATTTATTATTCTTAAACGACAGTAGAACGTCTGTTTGATTGATAATTTTGTTGTAGAAGTGGACGTAATTATCCAATCTTGCTTCTGAAATTTCAAAAAATTGAAAGTAGCACAAGACCTGGGGTGATCTTGGGGTGCATTTGTGTAACATGTTTAATATTATTAATGTTTAACTTATTTACCTTTTGCTTTTTGCATTGAAGACTGTATCTCTTGCCTCAAAGGTACGATATTTGTGATAGCTTTCTCATTTCTCTTTGATATGGTTGCAGATTGCGTGCAGAGATTACCCCCATCCCCGACATGATTGTGCTAAGTTTCCATTCAGTTCAACCTCACATGAACAACATTGTGAATTGGTAATATCTTAATTTTTTTGTAAAGTGACTTGAAACTTTATACTTCTGTGATGGTTGATTGCTGCATTGTTTCGTAGTTTGGATGCATTTCTAACGCAAACAATAAATGCCCTTCTGAAATTGCAGTGCCATTGCTTTGTTTGTGACTCGCGAGCACCATGTAGTTATTGGGGCTTGGGTACCTCTAGTACTGATCATTGTCATGCCACTGATAAAGAGGAGAAGTGGAAGACTTTGAGGAAGACTTTCAGGCATAAGAGAAATTCTCCAATACCAGTTACAAAAGCTCCCGTCACTTCTCAATCTACAGCAATGCCCCGATTTAACCAAGCTACACGACATGACAGTATGCAGTATGCACTGCAAAGTCAAGTTTCTAGGGTAATTCCAACTCGAGCTGGTCGGAATTTCATACCTCAAACTCATATCCAACGGCCATCCATAATTAGTTCCTCTTCTACCAGATATGGGGTTCCACATCACCCAAATGTGGGTAGCCAACGTGTTTTAAATAGAAGAACAATGCATCCGCTTCCAGTTTCACATCATTTACTAGGGGTGCATAATACTGTAATTCGAAGGGATCGAGGTATTAAAGTTAGTAACTTGGGTCCCCAATTTGTCCCTTCCAACACCGTGCCTCAATCTTCAGCTTATGGTCAGCCTGTTCTTCAGTCAAGCTTGAACCACGATCACAATTGCCTTCAGAATCAGAATCAACTGGCAACAAATCATGCCTTCTCAGATTCTGACTTGAATTGGATCAACAACATCGGTCAAAGCAATCAACAACCGTCTGTTGATTATTTACAGCTTCAAAACTCCACAAACGAGAAAGAAGCATCCAAGGAGGTAAACGAGGGACATAAATCGCTTTTCAACGAGCTCGAGAGCTTCCTTTTAGATGACCAGTCATTTCCCGAAGAGTCTATTATTGCAGAACTTAATTCACTTTCTTCCAATCATATGTCTTATGACACTGGTATGATTTTCTTTGATATTGAAACCTCTTGGGATCGTCTAACTCGTGCGTAGCTGATTAGCATAGGCTTGTGCATTCTAGAGAAGAAGAAAAAAACCGAGAAATGAGAGAGTTGTTTTTTTAGAATTGATCTAGTGACTATTTTAATAGAAGCTTTGATGGTGTGCATTGAACAGAAAAACAGCAAGTGGCTGTACGGAAATGGGTCGTTATTCGTCAATCTTTTCCCAGCTAATTTCTTATGTATTTGACTTCTGAAAATGAGTTTTTAATTCTTTCATCAAATACAAGACCATGACGTAAGAAATAGAATCATGAGTTTTCTAGTGACTATTTTAATAGAAGCTTTGATGGTGTGCATTGAACAGAAAAACAGCAAGTGGCTGTACGGAAATGGGTCGTTATTCGTCAATCTTTTCCCAGCTAATTTCTTATGTATTTGACTTCTGAAAATGAGTTTTTAATTCTTTCATCAAAATAACAAGACCATGAACAGTAAGAAAATAGAATCATGAGTTTTAGTTTTCTTCCGTCCCAATTTTTAGATTAAAATCCTGATTCCTAATTCGAATATTTTAAAATAATATATTATATGACAATATATTTATAATCATTTGTTATACTTTAAATAATTAAAATAATATATTTTATAATATTTTACTGTATTTTAACAATTAAAGAATATGTTTTAACATTATTAAATTAAAAATTCTTAAAATTTTAAATATATTATATATATAAAAGGGAAAGATAATAATTTGTACTGGATCAGTGATTTTTCACCTAAAATCCAATTCTACCCGTCTTGTATATATTCTGTCCTGTCCTGTCTTGAATTTAATTTGTTTTTTTTAAAATCCGCTCCTAGTCGAATCGGCGGTTCAGGTATTTTGATCATCCTTAAATGGTCGACTCCAAATTCTATTATCGTCAAGCTCTTTAATTAGGTTTAAATTTGTTAGGACTTTGGTTCCGATAGAACTAGGGATAATTTTTATTTTAAAAATTCGGATTTGAGTTGGGTTCAGAATTAAGGTAAAGAAACACGTGATGTAAGATTAAGCCTATATAATATTATAATTATCTTTTATATATTTAAAATAATTATATTGATATTTCTGTCTATTCTATTTTTTAATTAAATTTTTATTTTAGTTTTAAGTATATATATATATATATACAGTTTGGGTCAAATTTGAAAAAAATTGATAATACAGAACAAAACGTTTAGCACATGTAGGCTTCATCTCTTTCAACTAAACCAGCCACCTGTTGCCATCGCTATTTAGAACAAGTGGAATAGTGATTTGAGTTAGACAGCGGTCGAGAGATTTGAAGAGTTTTCTGGTGTTTCATCGACAACAAATTTAACTAACAAGAGTTTACATATACTGAAGGAGACTGTATAGGGTAGTTCTGCGGTGCGGCGCCTAAAAAATGATTAATATATGGTGTGACCGGTTAAATAAGTAATCGGTTAAAATTTAGACCGGTTATGTTATATTATTTAACCGGAAATATTATAAAGTACAATAAAATACTAGGTAGCGCTTATATAATGTAATAGGTAGGCTTATATTTACCTATTTTATAAGTAAACCGTATATTTATACCGATAGCATTGCAAATTACCTATTACATTATATATGTTGAAAGTGTCCATACTTTTTATAAAAAAGATCGATAATTTTTTAAAGTTATGTAATTTATGTTTCAATTTTTTTAATAGTGTTTTCATGTTTTCCACTACAATATTAATTTAATAATTTCATTTGCATAAAAAAATTATTTGATTGTTTTGATATTTTATAAAATAATATTTAGAATTTAAATTTAACAATATTAACCAAATATAATAATAAATATGTAATATATATGTTTATTGTTTTTAATTTAATAATAATATATATCGTAACGTAAAAAATAAATCATTAGACGCTTATAATTACTAAATTAATATCTTAAAACTCACTCAAAAGATAACCTTAAATTAATATTTTCCACAGTGAAAAAAGTATGGACACTTTTATAAAAAGGATAGATACTTTACAACTACCTATTACATTATATAACGATACCTATTACATTATATAAGCGCTACCTATTACATCATATTTTACCTATTATATTGAAAGTGTCCATACTTTTTATAAAAAGGATCGATATTTTTTTAAGTTATGTAATTATGTTTCAATTTTTTTAATAGTGTTTCATGTTTTCCACCTACAATATTAATTTAATAATTTCATTTACACAAAAAATTATTTGATTGTTTTGATATTTTATAAAATAATATTTAGAATTTAAATTTAACAATATTAACCAAAGATAATAATAAATATATTTTTACAGTGAAATAAGTATAGACACTTTTATAAAAAGGAAAGATACTTTACAAATAACAGGTAAAAATATGACAAAACAGATTCATTATGACAAAACCGGTAAATTTACTTGATATGTTAAAAGTTGGACACTTTTATAAAAGGATAGATACTTACCGATAACCAAAGTTTACCGGTTACCAAATTTTTTAATAGTTTTTCATATTTTCTACCTAAAACATTATTAGTTGTCAACATAATAGGTACCGCTAAACCGGATTTATTAAATACATTTTAATGTATCCGGTACTGCCGTATATTAACCCGCCTTTCCTGAGACAATCCCGACTACAGAGCTGATGAGGGTAAAGGAAGAGGAGGAGGTTGTTAGATATTGTCAATGGTAGATCTATAAATATTTTTAGAATGGGCACACATATATTAATTATTAAAAATTTTCATACATGTGGGCCTAAACAAAATTTTAGGACAGACACCAATAATAAAATTAATAACTAATATAAAAAAATATAGATTTCACCCACCCACCCTGAACATGATCTGCATCTGCCTATGTTTGTACATAGTTGGCAGGAATTAAATTAATATAATATTAAAATGTCGAGGACTAATTTTAGAATTAGACTTAAACTAAAATAGTAAAAGATAAGGACCAAAATGTAAATTTAACCTATAGTTGGAGGAATAATTTTATATTTTACCCCTTTTTTCTGTCGAAAATTCTCATTTCTGGAAATCTCTATTCATCTTCTATAATCTCTATTGCTGCTATACCTAAAAACCTTACCTTTCCAGCAGACAGCGAAAACGAGTATTAGAAAACCAATAAGATGGCGCTATGGATGGAAGCAGGCTCTGAACCCAAAACTGAAACTGAGATTGCGGACCTCCAAGCCATTGCCGCCCTCAAAGAATCAACTGCTCTCGAGCTCAAGGTTGTTTTTCCTCCTCTCTTCAGTTCTCTCTAATCTTTAATTATCTTCAATTCTTTGGAAAATTGGGTTTTCCAGGAGAACGGCAACGAGTTGGTGAAAAAGGGCCAAAAGCATTACCAAGAAGCCATCGACTGTTACACTAGAGCTATCAACCAGAAGGCTTTAAACGACCAATACACCTCCGTTTTGTACTCAAATAGAGCTCATGTAAATTTACTCCTCGGGAATTACCGCCGTGCGCTCGCTGATTCTCAAGATGCCATTAAACTCTCCCCTGCAAATATTAAGGTACTAATTTTTCAGTTATTGTTCTTCCCCTTTTTTGGTGCTTAAAAAACTGGGTCATTTGGAATGTTTATATTTAGGCTTATTATCGAGCTGTCAAGGCGTGCCTGTCGTTAAACCTGTTATCGGAGGCGAAATCTTATTGTGAAAGTGGGATTGAGAAAGACCCAAGTAATGAGGAGTTGAAGAAACTGGCAAAGCAGATTGATTTAAAGAAGCTGGAACAGGAACATCGTGAAGCTCAAGTTTCCAAGGCTCTTGCAGAGGCTAAGGTTTCTACTTTTTTAATCTGCAAAATCCATTTTCTTAATTAAGAATAGAGGGGAAAGGGTTTGGATCTTATTTTCTTTTTGTTTGATTAGGAACTTGTTTCTGCTATTGAAGATAGAAGGCTGAAGCTTGGGAATGCAATGTATAGAGAACTTACCGGATTAAGGAAGCCGGTGTTGGATAAAAATGGAATTTTTCATTGGCCTGTTTTGCTACTCTATGCAGAGGTTATGTCCAGTGATTTTATAGAGGACTTCTGTGAAACCGACATGTTTTCGGCTCATCTTGATATCATATCCATTCTGTTTTTTTTCTTCTTTATGAATCGAATTGCTTGTTAGTTCACCATATGATTTATATTGTCTTCATTTTATGCCTTCCTTAACTCTCGAACATGTTTTCAGAAAGTTGCCCACCTTTACCATGGGATAAGGACAACCATTATTCCCGTGAAGCAATTGAACTCTATTATGAGGTAAGCCTTGTTGGTTATGAATTGATGATTATGATGAATTCTAATTTGACAAATTCTAGCGGAGTGTGCTTGCCATTGTAATCTTATATTAGGTATAAAATGGAACCATCTTATGTTCCATTGGAAAGTATATTGTATTATAGTAAAATGACTAGTTGTCTACTTGTAGTAGGTGCTCTTCGAAAGTGAGATCGTACCATGTAGTTGTCTTTATATGTAGCTGTTAGTCTAATTTTTAAATTGTATGTTTCAAATGATAGTATGCTAAAGAAGTATTAAAATCACTTTGGTTTGCTGGAGGCAAAGACATTCCGCTGTTTTCATATCCAGTTTTGATGGTATTTTGGTTATCCTTGATTTTTGACAGGTTGGTTCTGGGATTTGCCTTTCTAAGACCAAAATCCTCCGTTATCTTCTAGAAGGGACTGAAGCTGCTAATGTGGAAAGCATTGGAGAGGAAGAAAATGATGCAGCTGATGGTTATCGTCATGGCAATTCTGCAGGTCATGTACTTTGCACTCTTCACCTTTCACATCAAATTTTCTCTCTGTTAATTGCGATTGTTCGTAGCTTTCCGCTGCTAGAATAAAATTGGTGAATCAGTGTATCTTAGGCAGTCTTTCACATCATGTTCTTTTTTGTAAATATTGATTTTGTCTCTCTTTAATTCAATATGGATATTCTCGGTAAATTAATTCCTAAAATAAGGTAATCAACCTTGTTTCCTCATTAATCTTGTTACACTACACAATACCGTATTTTATCTGAAGGACCTATGGTTTGATGTATCAGGTTCATCCAAATGGGTCAAAGTGGGTGAAAAAAGAACACTTCATGATGTGTTGAAAGAACCAAACTTCATTATCCCAATGATACCAGGTCTGTTTTTAGAAAGCATTCTCTGCATGATTAATACGTATACATGGATGTTTTCCTTCACTACTAATGAAAGTATTTCCGTTATCTGTCTTTAATTATCTCGTGCTATTTCCTTGTTGCAGTCTTTTATGTCGTTTCAAAAAGATCCACCTTTTGTAAGGACTTTGTAACCGGAAAATGGACACCTCCGGTGTGAATTGAATGCGCCTACTAGACAGCAAGCTTGGGGTTTCTACATTTTATCGAGTTAAAAGCAAGCAACTTTTACGCACTGCCGTATACAATGGTCGTGACGTTCATTGCCGAAACGTTTTTGTAGCTTGGACTTCAAATGTTTATGAAGTGAGCTTGAAATTGTCGAGCCTTTGTAGTTGGAATCAGCGAAGCCAAAGGTGTAATATTATTTTCCAATGATTTTTAGTGTATTTGTTGGCATTTTAAAGTTATACAACAAAGACAAACTGGGTCTAGGAGGGAGGAGTTTTTTTTACTGCTTTATAACTTGAATGAAAGCGTCTATTTATTTACTTCCACAGCTGTGAAATTTTTATATCCATAGTATCTATTCATATTCTTTTTTAGCTATTGACATATGTATATATTTGAATCTAAAACTTCAAAAAAAAACTCATATTTATTACTTAGGTCATTTAATGAATTTTATATTTCTATCCTATATTCAAAATTGAAAAATATTATGCTTTACTATATATATATATTAACTTCATAAAATTTACAGAGAAGTTTATGTATAATCTCATTTCTCCGAGTAATTATAATGTAAAATATTTTCTAAATAGTTACGGTAAAAGTTAGAGGAATTACATAGTTTGTTAAAGATCTTTTAATAATTTTTTTAATGACGTAAAATATTGTAAAATGTATGGAAATTTTTTAGATTTTATAATAAATTTCGTAAGTATAATGTTATCTCATTTTCTCATATAATCAACATAAAAGATAATAATTTTGTGAGTAATTACTGTAAAATTTAGAGAAATTGAAAATTTTGTTAGATATTTGTTAATATTTGTATAAATATGTCAAATGATATAAAAATTACATAAAAAAATTTTGTAATAATTTATAATGTGATTTTATTTCTTCTAATGATCAAAGAAAAAATGAACTTGTAATTTTGTGTAAATTATTATAGAAGTTAATAATCTTCTAATTTTGTGTAATTACTACTTCACTTGTCATAATTCCTACATACCAGGAAAGTAACAGAGTTTTGTTAGAGTCTCTAATTCTGTTTAGATATCTCCTAGTCTAAAGGAAACCGGCTCTTAATACATAAATCCTTTCAACTAGAATCTATACTGCTACATCCACTATCCATTATGGCTACTTTCACCTGCTCTGCCGCCGATCTTCGTCCTCTTCTCGGCACTGCTTCCAACGCCACCGCTGCTGCCGAATACATATGCAATGGCTTCGACGTTGTCTCGAACAAGTTTGTTGCCGCCACGTATGCCATCGATAACACCTACCTTCTTTTCTCAGCATATCTTGTATTCTCCATGCAGATCGGTTTTGCCATGCTTTGTGCCGGTTCGGTGCGCGCCAAGAACACCATGAACATCATGCTTACCAATGTCCTCGATGCTGCCACCGGTGGTTTATCTTATTACCTCTTTGGCTTTGCTATGGCCTATGGTTCTCCTTCCAATGGCTTCATCGGGAAGCACTTCTTCGGGCTCGACAATTTCCCTGTCCCGTCGGCTGATTATAGTTACTTCCTGTATCAATGGTCTTTTGCTATTGCGGCTGCCGGCATCACCAGTGGTTCTATTGCGGAGAGGACTCAATTTGTTGCTTATTTGATATATTCTTCCTTCTTGACTGGTTTGGTTTACCCCATCGTGTCTCATTGGTTCTGGTCTGCCGATGGTTGGGGAAGCGCCGCTCGAGAAGACAACCTTTTGTTCGGTTCTGGGGTGATTGATTTTGCAGGTTCCGGTGTAGTTCACATGGTTGGTGGGATTGCCGGATTATGGGGCGCCTGGATTGAAGGTCCTCGCATGGGTCGATTCGACAGTGATGGCAAGCCTGTGACATTACGTGGACATAGTGGTACATTGGTAGTCTTAGGAACATTTTTGTTATGGTTTGGCTGGTACGGTTTCAATCCAGGTTCATTCCTCGCCATCTTGAAAACTTACGGACAAACAACAGATTCTTCCTTCTACGGTCAATGGAGCGCCATCGGAAGAACCGCCGTCACGACGACGATCGCGGGAAGTTCGGCCGCTTTGTCTACTCTCTTCGGCAAACGTTTGCTCACGGGTCATTGGAACGTCACAGACGTTTGCAACGGTTTGCTCGGCGGGTTCGCTGCGATCACCGGCGGTTGTGCGGTCGTAGATCCATGGGCGGCAATCATTTGCGGATTCGTCGCGTCCTGGGTCCTCATCGGATTCAACAAGCTGGCTGAGAAGTTGAAATACGATGACCCGTTGGAGGCGGCGCAACTTCATGGAGGGTGCGGTGCATGGGGGATAATTTTCACCGGATTGTTCGCAAAGAAAGCTTACGTGAACGAGATATATCCAGGGAAACCCGGGAGACCGCACGGGCTATTCATGGGAGGCGGAGGACGGCTGTTGGCGGCACATTTGATACAGATTTTGGTGGTGACGGGGTGGGTGAGCGCCACCATGGGGCCATTGTTTTTGGTGTTGCATAAACTGGGACTTTTGAGGATCTCATCGGACGAGGAGATGGCCGGAATCGATGTGACTAGCCATGGAGGATTGGCCTATGAATTCCATGAAGATAATGGTAAAACTATGAAAAATTCGTTTATGATGACAAATATGGATACCTCTACTGTTTGATTTGGATCGGATGTGGAATTGATAGAATAAGTATTTGGATTTTTTTTAAAGGAAATGTATTTAGATTTAATTAGTAATATTATATTCAATTATTAATAGGGTAAAACCCCGATTATAGGGTGTTATTTTGCTTAGTCTATTGACTATTAAAAGTTACAAAATGATCCATTGACTATAAGACATTACTTTGTTGAGTCATCCGACTATTAAAAGTTACAAAATAGTCTCTAACTATTCATATGTTCCAAACTAATCATTTTAGGTTAAAAATTAGACGACAATATGAGTTGGATGTTAACCTGATGATTGTGATATGATCAAATCTGATCCCAAAATCTCAAATACTATCAAATCTCAATCAACATATTAACATCTAGCTCAGACTATCATCAATTTTTTTAACAAATTAGACAAGTTTGGAACATATAAATAGTCGAGTGATCATTTTATAACTTTAATAGTCAAGAGACTCAATAAAGTAATATCTATAATCGGAGATCATTTTATAACTTTTAATAGTGTGAGAACTCAACAGAATAGTACCCTATAGTGGGAGGACCATCTTTGTACTTTACCGGGTTACCCTTGTTAATAATGATTGAGAGTAGAAAATCACCATTCAAAACATAATAGTATCAAATTGTGTAAATAAATTAAAATCATATTTTGATTAAATAGTAAAATACAAATACAAATTATATTGATGTTAAATAATAGTTCAAAATTATTATAAGAGAAAATAATCTCAGTGACCGAAATACTTTATAATATACGATTTTAACAAATTTTGGATTTGCCAAAATGACCAACAAATTCGCAACGTGAATTCAAATTTCACAACCCAAGTTCCAAATTCGCAACGCGAAAGTCGAGATTCGCAACGCGATAGTCCAAAATCGCAAAGCGATTTAAGATTCGCAACGCGATACTCCAAAATCGCAATGCATTTGTTTCTTAAGAATTTTTTCTAAAAATACAATATCCGCGCGGATGTGTCGAAGACACGTATTACCACGACCACGACCACTACGGCGGCAGCGGTGCGCGAGAGTCCTCCTTGTTCTCTTTCACTCAACAAGGAAGTGGGAAATCCAAGTCTTAAATACCCATTACCAATACTGTTTCCAATACTATGTGGGTTGAGTATTACCAACACTTGTTTTCAATGCTAAGTTGAAACATTTAACATTTAACATTTGGAAGTTGGAACATATTTAACCAAGTTTCCAATCATTTTGGCCGTGGTCGTGGTCGTGGTAATACGTGTCTTCGACACGTCCGCGCGGATACTATATTTTTAGAGGAAATTCTTAAGAAACAAATGCATTGCGAATTTGACTTTCGCGTTGCGAATTTGGAACCTGGGTTGCGAAATTTGAATTCGCATTGCGAATTTGTTGGTCATTTTGGCAAATCCAAAAAAAGTTGATTAAAATCGTATATTATAAGACATTTTCAGTCACTGAGGTTATTTTCTCTTATTATAATTATATCTATACTTCAAAATAAATTTTTTATATCATTATTATTTGATAAACTAATGATACAATTTATAATAATTAACAAAATATATAAAAATCATATGATATCAAAGCATTATTAAAATTATAATAATAACTAAAAGTTGGCTTGAGAGAAAGTGTAATATGTCTCCAGAATCTATACTTTAAAATAAATTTTTTATATCATTATTATTTTAGACGGCATGACACGTGCTATATTATTACATTAAATGATATGATATATATCATGTTATACATTGATTGTATGACACTTATCACGTTATCGTCTTAGGTGACATGTTATATGGTACGTCTACAATATAACATATATGAAAATATTATATTAATTGTAAATTAACAAATAATTTTTATATAATAAAATTTATTTTGACTAAAAATAAAATATTAAAGATTTAATTATTCTAAAAAAATAAAATTAAAATAACTATGCGAATAAATATTAATTAATTTTGAAATTATGTCTGGAAGACTAGAATTCACGATGTGAGCAGTGTCAAAATTGCAATCTGACCCCGTCGATTAAGGCGGATGCCTTTTCGAGGTTTCAAAAATCGAACGGCTGATGATGCACCGATTATCAATCATGTTAATCGCAGCCGTTGTTTGAGTTCTTCCAATAAAGTAAACCAAACCTCTTTTCATTACACGTACGCGTTGAAAAATAGCTTTTGACAACATCGCAATAAAGTGCTTTTTTAATTATATATTTAAAAGGCAATTACTATAATTTTATAGTGATTGGAGCCTTATCCTACGCGCCGTATGATTTTTTTGCATGCATTTAACCGAATTTACTTAATTATCACTTAATTTAATAAAAATTTATTTGTTATACGTGTCTATATAAATTTACCACGATATAAATTCAAGTACTTATATAGTCAAGATAAATTGGGGATAGATAATTTATTTTTGGTATATAAGAATAAAACAACTACGTTTTGTAGTATATCATTTTAGAGTTTTAAGACCGTGAGAATAACTTAGATAAAGGGGTAAAACTCGTCATGTGGCTCTTTCAGGAAATGCGATCCCTATCTTTTATAAATATAAATTTTATCAAATGATAGTATCATAAAATGTCACATTAATATTATTTTAGAGTAAAAGTCACATTAGATATTTTATTAGATAGTCATGTTAATATTATAAAATGTCATATTAATATTATAATGACTAACAATAAAAAATACTAATTAAATGATTACATTAATTTTTTTCTAAATTTAAGAGTCCTATTAAATACAAAAATAATTTAAAGATCATATTTTTTATAAAAAAAATTATAAACACCTCACGTACCCTTTTACCATAATGATAAAAGATGTTAGTCCCGGAATTGCCCTCCCTAACTCACCAGTAATTAATGGCGCGTGGCTCTACAGGAGTTGGCTTTTGAGTTTTGGCAATTGAAAAGAGAATTCCCATAATGAGTTCTAAAGAGAAGACAATGGGGCCTTCTACGTGGCATACTAGGAATGGACTTTCCTACCCCAGCTGTATTCTTAATATAACACTTTTGTTTCTTTAGATTCTGTTGCTTAATCCTCTTTCCGCGGGTTATCTGTCTCGCTCCTAATTAAGCATTTAATTAGTTTTAAAATACATATAGAAAATGTCATAAATGCCCATGAAATGGCAAGAAAACCTCTGCAAATTGAGAAAAACCTTCCGCAAAGTCTCGTGACCTTTCTTTTAATCATAATAAATAAAGGAAAGGAAATTATTGCCTGCTCCATGACTTACCACGGAATCACCCCTTAGAGGTGGGTATACGGGCTATCCGCTCGTTTAGTCCGTAAGTTTTGAAAGTGTAAATTTAAACGGAGAGGTTTAAAAAGTCTGTAATCATAAATGATTTTAAATTTTAAGGTTCGCGTCCCGTCCGTTTAACCCGCGGGTTAAACGGAAATACCTTCGGCCCGTTAAATAAAAATAATTTTAAATATTTTAAATGCAATAAAAATAATATTCTACTTGCTACGCCTTTAAAAATGATCTAGTAACTTGAAAAAGAATGTATCACCGTCAAAATATATAAATAATATTTAAATTTTATTTTAAATAGCCGAAAATGATTATAAAATAATTTTTTTTAATTTTTAATCAGTAATATATATATAACAATATAATTATTTAAACTCAAATAAAAAAAACAATATTCACTTATATCACCAAATTAAAAAACAAATAAAACAATAATCATATTATACTTTTATAAAACACGATTATTCAAGGCTATATATGAAAACACAGAAGTGTCTGCAAGTAGAAATTCAAACAAAAAAATTCAACAAAGTCAAACATTATATAAATCTAACAATTTTTCTTTTGTAAAGCCTTTAAAAGTTGAAAAGTATGTTTTCAATTTTTTCTTTCACTTTTCTTTCTTATTTTTAATCCAAATATTACGTGTCATGTGATATATTATTAGAATATCAAGTGACTTTTTATAATTAAAGAACGAAATGAATAACATACTTAATGAAAAAATAAAGGTCAAAATTAAATAAAAAATCTTTAAATGCTAAAGTGATAATTATGTAAATTTTATAAGACTAAAATACTATATAAATCTTTTAACTTTTATTTTTTAAAATGAAGAATAATTTGATACATTGTAAATGAAAAAAAAATATCAAGCAACGATAGAATTATGACAAATGCCCTAATAAATTTAAGGACTACAATAGTTATAAGTAACATCATATTTATAAGTAATTTATTTTCTTTTTCTATAAAATTCTTTAAATTTATTTTCTCTAAAATTTTATAAATTTTAAATTAAGCGGGCTATTACGGGCTTCGCAGGCTACTCACGGTTATACTCATTAAACCCGCGGGTTTAACGTCCGGGCTAAAAAGCCCGCAATTTAAACGAGCTTCAATTTTTTATGTCCAAAACTCGCACGGGCCGCGGGTTAAACGGGTAGCCCGCGGGCCTTAGCCCATATACCCACCTCTACACCCCTTTAATAAATTTTTAGTTTGCTTACGAACCATACAATTTCAATGGTAAGAATATGGCATAGCATAAAGTCATTCTATAGGCATAGTAAATAAAACATACATAATTTTTAAAACATAAAGTTAAATAAAACATCAATGTTAAATAAAAGTCATTTATAGGCATAGTAAATTGTTCATACAAAATCAAAAGTCCAGAATATGACATAGCATAAATCAAAAGAATAATAATAACATAGTTACAAACTAAATACAAGTAAGGTTTTATGATGTATTTATCCTCTAAAGAAACAAGTATTGTACTCTGAACAAAAGTGTCGGTGCCCATGATGGAGGTGATCCTTTGACACAGATGAAAATTTACGAAGAAAAAAAAATCTAAACATTGAGCCCTATAAGCTTGGTGGTACACATCCATTCTACTGTATTTCATTCAAACCATAAATATAAGCACACAATCAAACAGGAATATAAAGACATGACATGAGAACTTTAATCAATATTCATCAA